TGCCCAACAGGTTTGCCTTCAACAGATGGCAAATAGAATACAAGTTTATCTTACAACCTAGGACACTGCTTTAAAAAAAGTCTTCAGTTGTTTGTGGTTTTGCAGAGCAGAAAGAAAATCTTCTTCTATAAGTTGATTCTACATTGGTTTACAAACTCTGGAAATTGAGATGATTTCCAATAGAGTGGGTATTCATGAAAGTACAAATTAAGCTGTGACAGTGGACTTTTCTCAAAAGAGCAAGGCTTTTCTATATTTTGCACTAGGAATATTACCTTATTAATATTCTCTGATGTTAATATAGTCATTTAAGATCTGGAAATGGCATAAGAAATAAGCAGGAGGAATATTAACGCAAAATTAAGGAAACTAGCTAAAGGTAATTAAAACAAGGAAGAATGTCATAAGGCTAAACATGCCACCTAACATGACAGGTGAAAGTAAGAGTTAATAATTAAAAAATATATATTTAATATTCATTTGGTGCCCAAAATATGGGGCTTTTAAAATTTTTTTTTGCACTCTTCATTTTCTCACCATTAGAAGAAAAATCATTTTACAGAGGCAACAGAGGAAGTAGCAAAATTCAGACACTTGATTTCTGTCCTATTCAAATAGTTACTGTGGAGTGGAAAAATTTGAAAAAATCTGTAGCAGGAGGTGAAAATACTATAAAAGAGGGATATATTCATAAATCAGTAAGTTACAGTAGCATATTATAGCTCTAGTGTAGAATAGACTGTTTGCATGAAAAATATGTAGATTTAAAACGCAATAAAAAAGACCAACAAAAGAAATCAATAATGATACATTTTATTTCAAGCAGTCATAGCAGCAGTGCCACATCCATCAGTCATATTTTCCTAGGCCCTGTATATAATAATCCCCCTGATCCCTATATAATTGCCAGCTTCACCTTTTGAATTATCAACAGCTCTCACAGCTTATTGCTCTGTACTTTCTTAATAAGTGCCCGCAATCAATAATCTTCCTACTGAGTAAGCAGCAACCAGCCAGCCAAACACGGGGTGTAAATGTTTCAGAAGTGATCATTACAGGGATTTGAATGACAAGGTGACTGTGCTAATGCAATAGGCACAAAGTAAAGACATAATTTGGAAAATCCGCTTACTGGAATATGTAGGTGTCTTGCCATGGCAAAATACTCACTCTGCAGAGGAGAATATTTACCCTTGAAAATGAAACCTCCTGGAGGACATTTTTTTTCCTGAGATGACAGTCACCATTACCAGAATTTCATACCTCACCTTCAAAACAAACCATCCAGCATGTCTGCAGCCAGCCTCTTTTATTTGGAAATGCAACTGCTTAGTGTCTCACACAAACTCTGCAATGATTGATAACAGGGATTTACATTCAAATTTGAGAATAGTGTCACTTTGATGACAGTGGTTTAAATAACAATGTGTATAACAAGGGCCCTCAGAATTTTTTTCTGTTACAACTCACTCGTTAAACACCAACACAGTAAACATCCACCTTTGTTAGAGAATTATTTCTTAAATTTGACAAACAAAGCAAAGAAACAGTGATCCAGACACACGTAAATTTTATAGAACTTTGAACAGAGATAGTTTTTCCAGAGTGCTCAGTAGTAACATTGAACACATTTCCAAATGAGCTCAACTCTAAATTACTAAAGTTGACTTTTAGTCAACAAGAAAAAAGAATAAAAGTTTTCTAAATGTCCTGGTGAAAAAATGTGCTAATTTTCTTTCATTCTTTATAAGGCTACAGGCACTGGGCTTTAAAAAACCCATCTATATAGGCACACAGACGAGTTCCATAGGAAATACTCAGAACTTCTGAAAACGTAACTATTTATTTAAATGCCTAAATGAATGTTTGTTTTGTTATCCAGTCTGAAGACTCCTTGAGACAGTGGGTGAGTTGTGGTGACTTATACTGGAAAAATATTTTCCTTTGGAAGTAATATCAAAAGCTCATTAACCTTAGTCATTCTCACCATATAATTACATCCCCTGTTCTTCAGAGATGACAGTGCATAGGGAGATGAAAATCCTGACAATTCATTAAAATCTGCAAGACATAGCAAGAAAAAATATATTTATCCTTATTTTTAATATTATTTTTGAACTCACAAAAGGCTTCTGGTAAATTCAGAATTTGATCAACAGCATGACAGAAAGTGATATGGAAAGTACCATCAAAAGAGAAAGAGAATTTTACCTTTATCATATTAACAATGAGTTTGAATTTGTCTTTGTTGACAGGTGGTTTATTTAAACATTTTTCTTGATCAATTTTTTTTTATGTGTTATTGATTTTTCAAACTGGTTTGTAAGATATCTGAAATAAAAACATAAGGCATATTCATTTCACAATGAAAGTTAAACTAAACTGTAGGCAAGAAGAAAATGAAAAAAATTTAAATTCACAGTGGCCTGTTCTTCAATAAACCCTCAGTGCCAAGACTCCAAACAATTGCTTAATTCCTGACAATCCTTTTTGCAGATAAATCAGGGTTTAGTGCTTGCTTACTTTATTTTGTTTCTTTTTCTTTTCTCTGAAGTTTTATTCTGCAAAGGCCTCATAGCATTTGCCGAATAAAACCTCAGAGAAAATTTACTGATTTTTGGTTTTCTTTAAGCACTGAACAACTAGTGAGCTTTCCCTATGAAGGACCTGCTGAAACTGAATACCTAAAAGTCCTGCAAAGTACTCAGCCTTCTAAATTAGCAACAAAATTCCTTGCTGGCATTCTGACATGAACATTACCACAAAACCCAGTATAAAGACCTTTAGGCAAGACTGCTGGTGAGCCATTAGATGAGATGATGATGATAATGAAGATGATGATGATAGGAAGCTGATCATTAAACAGCACACTCTTAAGGGACTACTTCTGCTGCCCTAATTATCCTGTGTTTCTGACTTAGAGCTTCATATATTGCCCAGCACAGCAGCACCTTCTGAGTGCTACAATCTGTCAGTGGACCCAGCAAGGTCTGCAGCGTATTTCCTGGCCTATCTATTTTTTAAGGGAGAAAAATGCATTACAGATATTTTGCACATTGTTTCCCACTGGTTTGTGACTGTTGGCAGGACAATGATGTATAGGAGAGTAAGATGCTTATTAATTAAATATACTTCAGTGAATTGTTTGGGGATTGAAGTGTCACAGTCACACACTATGTGAATATGAACGTGAGGGTATGGTCTACAAGAGTAGGTTTGTGCCTTTAAGAGTGCTTCTTTTAAAGGAGGGAGGGAGCTGTCTGTAGCTAGAGCAGTGATCTCCACTGTTTTTCAGATATATTTTCAGGTTCATCTCTCCTTTCTGAGCTAAACTGCACTAAAAAGATTTACCTTTTGTGAAAAAATATCATGAACACTGTTGACCTAAAGAACTGTAGGCTTTCCAGTCCTCCCCCTCATTTTTCACCATAAAGCAGCTATTGACAGAGAAACTTCTAAATTACCCTTGCTTTTTCATTCCCTCCTCCTAACTGATGCTAACAAACCTGCTCAAGTTCCTCACTCCCTCATTGATTTCTCTCCTTCAGAAAGATGGGAGCATCCTGCAGTTTCCCAGGACTTCATAAACCACCATTGTGCTCCTCCTGGTAGGGACTACCAAGAGTCCTGTCAAGGGTGGTCAAAGACATGGTTCAGTTCTAGATACTCTCAGGTTCTGATCCAAAACTCTCAATTATTGCACATTATTTTAACATCCTCTGAGAAAGTTTAGATATTTCTCATGCCATTCATGAGCGGGAAAGCTTCTACTGGTGACAACAGGGCCCAACAGAACCACCAGAGGTTGTTCTGAAAAGAGGTTGAAAATTAATCTCAGTACATTTAAACCAAAAGCTCAGCTTTACTTTCCTTATAAGCACAGTCTTGGACACCTGGACCCACAACTAGATCTTCTAAGGCTTCTGCTACAAATTGTGTAAGCAATTCAACTGCATCAGAGTGGGTGGATCAAGTGCACAAGTGCTTTGGATCAGCAGCAATATCCAGTGTGACTGTGTGTACAGCTTTGTCACTGCTCAGGTGTGCTCGTGTGGCCAGTTAACAGCTGGCCTTTTGAGGTAAGCATGGAAATAGGTACCAGAGGCATCCCAGAGCTTGCAATAGAGAGTTTAAATAAGTTTGAACAGAAAGGCTGGAAAGGAATAATAAAACAGCTATTTGGGTAGTGCTCCATAGTTGCCAGTTCATCAATTAATAAAAAACAAAATTAATTGCTAACTTTGAAATTACCTCATCTCTTTTCAAAAGATGCTGACAGCTTGATGTATTAAAATAAGAATGATCACTTATTGTAAACAAATTTCAGTTTACCTCCCCCCACAACTCTTTAATTTCAAGAAGGATGGTGCACCTCCTTTTTGTGTCTGCTGGACAACCTTCAGCTCTGCATTAGCTAATTAATTCAAAGAAGGAAGAATGTCTTTTTCACAGAATCATCAGTATAGCTAATATTATTTATATCTAACCATAAATAATACAGGGGAAAATATCTTTTAGTTCCTGCGGATGCTGCTCTCACTTTAACCCTCTATCAATCCTTGGAGATTAAGAAAGCAGTGATAATATGTGCTATCATTGGTAACAGGAGCACCTCTGTAGCATTGAGGTGAAGGTAATTAAGCATGGTTTTAAAAACAGGAGCATGTATACAAAATAAGGGAAGGAAATTCTGTGCAAACCTATATAAGGACAGGGGACAAAGGTGCATTGTTCTAATTTAAAATAAGGGGGCTGAGAAGGTGTGTTGTCAAGGGATAGAAGTATTGATGAAGGTTTGAAAAAAGAAAAGAGGAGAAGTGGTATAGATAAATAAAACCACTGAAAGGGCAACACTTGTTGATATATGAAAGGAAAGGCTTTCTTCAGTCTATGGTGACAGCTTCATGAAGAACTTTTCATGAACTTGAAAAGATGACTTCAACAGGTCTGTTCTGAAAGGATGCCACAGGGCTTCACAGAAAAGCACAGAAGGCCAAGGCAGAAATGTTGAACAGCAGGAAGAGTGAGAAGGAAGCTGCCCAGAGCTGAAAGTACTCCTCTGTTTGCACAAGGGTGTTAACTCTGAATTGTGAGAATATTTTAAGTAGCAGACAATGTGATCCCTGAGGAAGTCAGGATGCTACACTGGAAAATACAGTGCATTGATGAAAAAGCAGGACTGATGTTAAACTTGAAGTTTCAACCATTAAAAGGCTTTAAGTGCCTATCTTTAATCTTCCAAATGTGCACATGCACACGTTACTGAACTATATGTCTGGAATACTGTCATGTGAAACACACTATTTCCCAACAATTGGACATGACTGAGTTTTATTTAGATACAGTGGCAGTGTATACCAGGGCTTGCAAATATTTTTCTTCTTTTTGTAGTTCTAGCTGTAAGTGCAGGTTTGTTTGTTGGGGTTTTATTTTGTTTGTTGTCTTAATTATTTCTTTCATTACTTTATAATTTTCTTTTTATTTTTTTTTCATTTCCATTAAGCAGTTTTGAAAGCACAGCTGAAATTCTGAATCATGTGTGCTGTTTGTGTATTTAATTTTAAGTGCTAAATTTAATTTATTTTCTGTTATTCTCGGAAATCCCCTGTATCTTTATATCTCAGGGAGTTTAATGTTTTCTGTGTTTCTGATACCTGCTTATTTAAGGATTTGAATACTTATTTAAGGATTTGAATACTTAAATGCATTATGAGTAAATTGGAATCTGCCATGGTAAAATCTTATTCTACTAATTCATATGTGGATTTCTACCATAGAATAAATAAAATATTCTTCTATATTAAAATCATGGTTGAAAACAAACACAAAAAATATCTACCTGCAAAATCTCCTAATAGTATGAAACTTCAAAATAAGTGTCATCAAGCTGCAGTACTGTGGACAAGTTCTCTTGTCCCTTCAGCATGGCACTACAGTAATTATGATCTCAGTCTTGAAAAAAATATCAAAGAAGTAAACTGAACAAAAATACCAAACAAGGAAACAAGCAAGCAACCAAAAAAACCTCTAAATGTAAGCTGTTCCAGTCGCGAGTCAGCTCACACATTCATGGACGACTGAAAACAGCATTTAAATCAGCATTTTAATATAAAATAGAATTTATTTTCGCCCCATTCCTTTATTTATCTCATGTGTTATTCCAAACTCACCACCACTGGCTTATGCCACTGAAGTCAGCCCAGACAAACAAGAATAGTGTCCATGTCAGGTCACAGTTGAGGCCTTTATTCCCACGCTACTTTTTCCAGTCCTGCTGCAAAGGAGTGCTGTGGTTACTCCATTCCACACTATTACAGCCCCAACTCTCATGTCTCACAATTGATTGAGCAGCAATTTTTCTCAAGTCTCCAGCTCTTAAAGTCCTGCAAAAGAAGTTGCTGTGGGTTGTGGCATGAAACTTTAGGACAGGAGCACCTCAGAGAAAGACATGGACTTATTGAGCATAATACACAAAAATTATTTGATTATCTCTCCTATGATGAAAGGTTGGACTAGAACTGTTCTTTGTGGAGAAGGAAACTTTTGGGGGGATTATTATTAATGATTGATCTAATTAATCTCATTAAATCTTACTAACCTTATTAACTAATTAATCTGACTAAATCTAGATAATACCTGAAGGCAAGGCATAAAGATGACATAGCCAGGCTCTTTCCAGTGGTTCTCAGTGACAGGACCAGCAGTGACACAAACAGAAACACAGGAGGTTGCTCCAAACATCAAGAAACACTTTTTCACTCTGGAGGTGATGACCAAGCAAACAGCAGCTTACAGTGTAGCACAACCTCTTTTCTGCACTCTTTCTGTGGAAATAGCAGCACTCTAAAGCCCTGAGATACCTGAATCATTAATTAGAGGTTGCTCAGAAATCCCTCTCCCCAACCCCATCCCCAAATCTCAGTTCCCAAGTAAATATGCATTAAACTCTGGCTTGTGATATTTGACAGATTGATCTGAATCCTGACAGTTATATTAAAGATGGAAGAAAGGAAGGCAATTAGTTATCAAGCATTGAATACTGACACAAAAGTAGCATAAACTGGCAAAAGTTAGTCCTGAAGAGAGGAAATCAGTGTCCCTGGTTTTCTGATCCTCTCTTCATCATTCACAGGTTTTATTGCTGACCAAGAAAAGAGGAAGAAGTGAAGCACAAAGACAGGGCATTGGAATTCAGGGAATGAAGAGAAGAGATAAAACTGAAGTGAAGAAATCACAAGCCTCACTTTCAGCGTCTCAAGTTCAAAGACACTTTCCACTCTATCACAGCACTTCACAGATTTAACTTTTTCCATTAACCCCTACACTGGCTTGCATAACAAAAGTAATAGCAGTTCAAAAGCCTTATACTGTGGTCCTGACTTGAACTGCAGTCAGCTTGTGGCAAGCTGTTTACCTGTGATTAAAATGGTAAAGTTCTGACCCTTGACCTTACTGTCCTTCAGGTTTGAAATGTCCTGTGTCACTGGCATGCTCTAAGGATAAGCATATGAAAGGTCATTCGATACTCAGATTCTACCATAATAAAGATAAAAACTAGATTTACAGGCATCCTATTCTGTCTTCTGTTGTACTTTTTTTTTTTTTTAGTAGGGATAGAGTTAATTTTCTTCATAGCACATTTTAAGGGGCCATGTGTTGGATTTTTTTGCTTTGCTTGTGTGCACAAATTTTATTTTACCTATTAAACTGCATCTCAAACCATTTTTTTACACTTCTAACATTCTGATCCTCTCCTCTCTCTCCCTGTGGAGGAGAGGCTGAACTAGTGCCTACGTGAGGCTTGCTGGGGTTAAATCACAATCAAAAGCAATTATGTAATCTTTTTCAATTAGGTATTGATGTACTGCCAATAAATAAAAAACTGCTCTTGACCATGGACTGTAATTTTTTCTGATTTCATATGGCTTGCTTAATTAAATTAGCATCACAATTTGCATTTGTTGGATACAGTTGGTTCCAAAGTCCTGCCAGAAGGAAAAATAGTAGCAAGTTGTACCTCTCACAGTAGGGACAGCAAAGATTTCTTATTTTTATTTCACCTTGACCCAGTGTGAGTAGCATTCCCCAGCAAGCCTACCATTACAGAAAGGTTTTGAGGTGAGAAAACATTAGCAGTTGCAAATTCTATCCAAAAGGCACTTAGCACTTTCTGCACAAATCTGGCTATGTTCTTCCTTCACTTGCATCCTGCAATAAAATTCCCTGACATCAATGGAAAGGTTTCTTTCTGTATCCTGAAATGTATCCTTCCAGTCAGCTGAAATCTATTCTTAGATGATTATTACATTTTGTGAGCTTCCCTAAAAGTCCATGCAACTTTGGAAACCTCTTTGCCCTAGAACTTTAAAATAGCCTGCTGCATCATAAGAAAACCAAACCCATGAATGTTTCCATATCATTGCAGTGTCTCAATATCCTTCCATCATCTGGCATTTTCTCCTGGGAAAAAAGACTTCAAGGAACCCACACTGTGTCCCCCAGCTAGGCCAACATGACCAAGGAGGACCTCCCCTCAAAGCATAAGATTCATTTATGCCTTGAAGCCTGTTTGCAGCTTCAAGGCACTGATAGGGAAGAGTGTGTGTTAGCAGGGTCCAGGGGAGCCCAGCTGGGGGACCCTTCCCTGCTGCTGCAGAATTGTAATGGCTTTGGTGGCAGGAAAGTCAGTAATAAGGAAAGTCACTAGCATAGCCAGTTCAGAACCAGCACACCCCAATTTTGCACATTTGCCTTATTGTTAATTGTAGTCTCAATCTGAGTGTGGGCTGAGAAGTGACTCTGCCCAGCACGTTCCTGTCTCTGCTTCAGAATTGCCTATTTGTTGTGCAAATTGTTCTTTCCCAATATTTTTAGAGTTCTCTCAGCCAGTGCGTCTGAGCGCTCTGTAACCTGTAGTGTGTTTACACTCACAACACCCCTGAGGGCAGTAGAGTGCAATTATCCCCGTTTTACTGATGGAAAACTGCAGTATAAAACAGATTAAGCCATTCACACGAGGATCAAGAGCTCTTTGCTCTACTTATTGTGTGCAGGTCATCTTGCTGCTGGTTTTCCATTTGGCCTGAATCCCAGTCAGCAGTTGAGCATCACATCCAGCCGACGAAACTCTGCTCCAGGAAATCACTATGAAACCTCAAACCTTAATAAAACAATGAAGGTATAAGTAAAAGCTTTCTCTTGGGAATACTTTGAGCCCATGAATACCACAGAAGGCAGTATCAGTTGCAGCCCAGTCTCTCAACCACAGTAAAGACACTGTGGATATGCTGTCCTAGGACATGAAGTTGCTGTCCTCCCCTCCTTTCCAAGATCACACTGCTGGCCTCTGGTTCCAAGAGGGCACAGCTCTGCTGCTGGTTATGGGATTGACCTGCTCCAAGCAGGAAACACTAAATTCTGAGAGCAAACAGCAGTGACTTGGTCATCACAAACAGACCTGGACGAAGCAGGAAACACCACAGAGCTCCTCCCTGGTCTGTCTGTCAGAGCTATGAACTTTCTCTATTAGGGATATAAATTAAATCTTATGCTGGAAGGATAAAGTCCATCACACATGAACAACCAGGAGTCAGTGTGATATGAGGTACACATTCTGCTGTAGCATTTCCCTCTAAAGCATCTCTTACGGGCCTTTGGAAAATTTGCCTTTCTAGAAAGATAAGTGCTGAACCATTTTAATAGTTTTTAAATTTGCTCTGCTTGACATGAACGTTTTTATTTGAACTCTCTGTAAGACCACCAAGAAGAACCTCATGGATCAGGAATCAAGAAAAAAGCAGATTTTCTGCTGAGCAGTGATTAAAACCAGTAAATTGTCCAGAAGCGGAACACATATGTATTAGCTTTATTTATCAGTACCATGGACAGAAGAATAAAATGTCCATGTAAAGCAATGACAATCCTATTCCTTATTGGGTGTTGGTCTTTCCCTTTTTCTCTCTTATTTGCTTTTTTAGCTTAGTGCTTAGCACAAAGACATGAACCTGTGAATGATTTTTTTTGCTGGTCTAAATCAACAAAGAAAGGGCAGTTTATATGTGTTAGTAAAATCTTCATCTCAGCCTGCTTCAGTGCATAATTATAATAGGAGTTGTGACACTGTTTATATCATAGAGAATAAATTTTGCTTTCACATCCCAGACATTTCACATTGTAAATCTTTTCACACTGTAAATCCCTTCACAGCTTGCTTCATGTCCTAGTCTCAGTCACTCAAGATCTGCCATTCCGGGTTAGACCATGGTATCACTGTGTAACAAAAACTGGAAAAGGGGTTTGAAGCCTGTTACAGATGTGAGGTGTGCATGGTCTTGCTGGAGTAAGTTTGCCTTAGAAGTCATAAAACATTTCCCAGCCTTTCCAGAAAGGAAAATTTTTATTCAAGTTTAAAGACTAAGTTTGTGCTGAGTGCTTTCCTCAATAAGGTAGATTTATGAAGTACCCAATTGATTCCTTGGTTCAAGGTATTAAATGACAGTAACAGCTGCATTTCCACTCTAAAAAACATTCAGAGATTTCCTCTGAAGTTCACCTCATTCTTTTGGTTAGAATCAGATTCTTCACCTGAAAAAGAGCTGATTCCTTTTCCTTTGGGAATTGCACAGATCAATATTTGCTATATGAGTTTCTTGCTATCAAGTTTGCAACACTTGGCAGCAAGTGTTCTAGTTAACTGTACCCAAGCACAATTAGGTTTCAGACACACTGTAATGCTAATTCTTTTTTTCAGGTCAGTGATCAGACGTGGTAAAATGAGTTGAAAGGCAGCACATCCAAGTCTTATTCTCTAACTCGACATTGGCATCTATTCCCTTGCCCTCTGAAAACTTATGTACAGCAATGTTTTTTTTTGGTGGCCACTACTACACTTACAATTGCTACTTCAATAACCATAGGAATGACCTTTCCCTCATTCTTCTATTCAAATAAAAACCTGTTTTTCTGCAAAGAGTTTTCTTCACTTTTACATATGTGATAGTGGCAGCTCCTGATGATCTTTCTGTTCTATGAGGAACAGTAATATACCTGTACTCCTCTGACAGCATGACAAACATCCTGATTTTCTTCATAAGAGGTATTTTTGTGATTATATAGGACCTTGCCCAAAGGTTTTCTATTTTGCATCACTGCGAGAAAGGAGAAATATGTGTGTGAGTTCATACATGTATCCATAGCTGATCCCCTCTATTTTAACCTCTAGAACCATTTAATATGAAACTAATTTCTGACCTTTGGTGCATCTCAAACACATGAACACCTACTGCTGTTTTGTGCCAACAGCTGCTCATCTTCTCTTAACTGTTTGTGCATTGCAAAATTAGAACTGCATTTGTAATCATTAGACTTGATGCTAGTTTAAATCTCAGTTTCTGTAACAGTCCAAGGAGCTGCAGAAGGAACAGATTAATGAGCAATGTCACAAGCAAATGTGCAAAACCAGAAAATCTGAAACAAAACACAACACTGAAAATGAATGTACACGCTACTGGGAGTTAAGCCATAAACTGAACAAGGAAGTAGCACTGGAAACCATGGAGTATTAAAGGCAACATTTCTCATACCTTCAGATATGCACATTTCAGACTTATAAAATAGAGTAGGTTTGTCTAGTGGGCCTTCAGCTGTGTTTCAGTAATTTATAAATGCTAAATTGAATTAGAAATTATTTTAAAAATTTTTAGCAAAACTCAATTAGCACTAGAAAAAGGGGCTGCACACAAAGGGAATCAATTTTATATTCTGCAAGAAATTTTCAAGACAGACACTTTGGAATAGAAAATACATTTTAAGCCCAGTAAATATACCAACTGAAAAGTCACTTAAAAGGCCTTCTCATACTTCTGAAAGTCCAGTGAGTCTAGTCAGTTCTGAGCTTATGTTGAATTCTAGAGTTTGTGCTTGAATTATTTTGATTCTGCTTAGGAAGATAAAAATAAAGAGGGCAAAAAAAGCCAAAATGATGAACAAAAACTTAATTTTAATTTTAATTTATTTAATGCATTTTTATTATATCCAAATTTTTATTTATTAAAATGTATTTCATTTTATTTCAATTTTAAATTAATTATAATTATTTTTAGTTAAGTTTCATTTAGTGTAATTTAATTGCAGGGAAGGGAAGGGAAGGGAAGGGAAGGGAAGGGAAGGGAAGGGAAGGGAAGGGAAGGGAAGGGAAGGGAGAAAACTAAAAATTAAAATTAAAAGAAAAATGAAAAAGAAAATTTATGTAATTTAGTAGGAAGAAAAATAAAGTAAAAGAAAATAAAATAACACATAAAGAAATGGCTCTGAGATTCAATTGCTATCATCCTTCTCAGTGTCTTCCTTAGCTGCAAAATACATTTCTCATTTCAGTTTTTCAAGTGTATCATTCTTCCCTCTATGAACATCAAATGTTGTTTTCCCTCATTCATTTTGTCAGGCTACTCTTTCAATATACCATTCCTCAAAATTCACATCTGTTTATGAGCCATTTGTTCAGTTTCATGCCAATATTAGCAAGTCTTTCCAACACATGGAAATATTTCATTTCCTCTTT